TATGAACAGCCTATCCGATATTTCACGCTGAACATTTTCAAACACAGAAACGTCAATATCTCTACAATAACAAATATTTGTTATTCTCTGCCGTATATCCAATATTGAAGCAGGTTCAGTTTCGAACACTTTTTGCTTCAAATAGCCTCATAAGAAAGTCCAAAGGCGTCAAATCTGGCGAGCGGGCTGGCCATTCTGTAGGACCTCGACGGCCAATCCAACGACCTCAGACATAGACAAAACCTCAGGCATAAACATCTGCAGATCACGGCTAACAAACCCGGAAAATAGTTGGACACGATTTATTTTTTTTATGTACATTTTAAGTATTTGTTCATATCAAATCGTTCTAAATTGGATACACATAAGATTAGTTGACTGGTAATAAGATAGAGGGACTGATTTGTCTAAACTTTTGGTTTATTTGAGATCTAGTGCTGCCCGAATATTATTGAAAATTCTCTTTTGAGCCGAGCTATATTTCTCTTTGTTCGCTCGCTCTTTCTTGAGTGTATTCAGGAAGATATGTAGCGTCTTTTTAATGCAGACTAAAAAAGTAATAAACCCGGTAGATCTATTTTTATTCCTTACACATTTCATATCTCGAAATGAGAGCTTTAATTATTGTACCCGAAGGAATGGCCGAGAGATATCTGACACGCTAGCTGACAGGCGGCGTCGAAAAAAAGACGCCACATGTGTGAAATACAGAGCGTGTGAAAGAGTTCACTTACGTGACGTTGTAATGGACCATCACCAGGAATGCTCGTTTTCTGTTTTTTGTCCGCGGCTAGAGCGATGTTTTTGTTATTTCTCATATCAACTCCGTCTAATCCGAATCTAGAAGGATCGCGTCATCTCTCTTCAGTTAACATAAGCAGAACGATTTTCTTATGATTGAGATGTGGCGCTACTTGAAATACGAGGAGTGATTTAAATGGATTTAGCAACCGTGAGCGTTAGTCAGAGTAAATAGGCCGTCTTTTTTTAAGACCACTTCTGAATGTTCTGTACTCGAGATAATTTGTTTATCCGATATTAATTGCTACAGTATGTGCACAGCCAAGTTTGAAAACAACACCTTTCATGGTAAAAAGGTATTACAAATGCGTTGATAATAAAACTGGGTTCTTGGAACGATGACGACAGATAAGTTAGTGATACGTCCGCTGGAAGGTTTTGTTTAGAAACAAGATAATTCAGTCAAGGTTACCTTTCTTTTTTTTAATTGTAGGAGATATCCGTCTGAACTAATTTAAATTTCGATGCATCATTCTAACGTGCTAATCATAACCTCAATGATATAATTTAGTATTTATTATTTGAATTAGAATGATACTGATGACAATCTCAACTACAGACAGAGAGATATTAATTTATTTTCAGTTACAGAAAATGTGTAAAGAACGTATTTGTTACCGCCTAAAAGGTTTTTATGGATCATCATATTATTTTTTACGCTAGCCTTACCCTGAAGATTGGGAAACACTCTCACTGATTCGATCCTAATGGCAGTTTTTTATTGAGTTTAAGCCATCAGTTATTACTTTTTTCACGAAAAGTCGCCTTTAAATCTGAAGGCACTCAATCTTAAACATTTTGACTTTTTATACCTACCAAAGATATTAATGCGAGTTTTTTTTGTTTCGTTAACATTTCAATTTTTTCGGTTGTTCAATATTGAACATTATGTGTTATTCCATTTACGCATATTTCAACTCATATTCAGTGGAAGTTCTTACTTCCATTGTGTAATATGATATAAATTGATTTGAAATCCCTGAAAGAATCTGTAAAGAAATCTGAAAGAAGAATCTGAAAAGTAATAATTATATTAAGCCAAAAAACCTAAAAATACAATGAAATAAAATACAAGCAACAACCAAAAAATCAGAAAAATTGAACTATCAACACGAGATGGAAATTAAAAAATTATTAAATTTAGTTACAGAAAATGTGTAAAGAACGTATTTGTTACCGTCTAAAAGGTTTTTATGGATCATCATATTATTACTGAAAAGTAATAATTATATTAAGCCAAAAAACCTAAAAATACAATGAAATAAAATACAAGCAACAACCAAAAAATCAGAAAAATTGAACTATCAACACGAGATGGAAATTAAAAAATTATTAAATTAAAAATTGAAAGATTCCAAACCAAGTTACTTCACGACGTTTCGATTGTTAGTATCCACAATCGTGTTCGGGTGATAACTGGACTTATTCCTCAGAGATCTGAGTATTTATAGGTCATTCGAGTGCTTTCACATATCCCCTCTTCCCTCTCGACGCTTCATCGGTTTTAGCGAAAGCTAACCGTTTGGCGGGAGTTTGTCGTGTTCCGCTTGATTAGAGGTTTCGATATGTTGCATATCTCTACGCTAGCTTAGCTAAATGCGTTGTTGGACAACATAATCGCAGCCCGCGTTTGGTGGCCTGGTTTTCATGAGGCTGCTACGGATAGTGTTCCCAGATCTGAAGCAGGTTCTGATGTTATATTTCGACCCAATCCTTCTTATCCTTTCCTTTCCGACAATCCTCTGATGTAGGGAAGTACAGGTACTAGTTGTGGTGGTTTCTCTTCCCTATGGAGCTCTTGCTGTCTTCTAGCTAAAGCCTGTTCCACCATTACTTTGAAGTAGCCATTCCATTGAAGGTCATTTGTGATGATGCCCAGTTCCTTTTCGAAACCTTCCTTTGTATTACAGAGCCCAAAAGCACGGTCTTGATAATTCCTCTCTTAGTCGATTGATGGTGGTTGGATTCCTGGTTCAGATTCTGTCCTGTGTGAGTGGGTTTTCGATATACAGATGTTTCCCATTTAGTGTACGTCCTCTTCACCAATACGTCTAAGAATGACATTTCATTGTGGATTTCCTTCTCCATTGTGAAATTGATGGAAGGACTTACGTTGTTGATGTGCTTCAGGAAGATGTCTAGTTCTGCATTGGCAGTTCCTCATCTTGCGTAAAGAATTCGTCCTTCAGTTGGAAGTAGCAGTTTTGTACACAGTATCCTAGTAACTCCATGATTACTTGTATCGGTAAGTGTGTTCTATCTTTCAGGTCCCATCTTCGAATAACTTCCTCTGTATGATTTGAAGTGCTTCTTCGACAGGGACATGGGTGTATAGGCTTTCCATGTCGAAACTTTCAGGGATTTCAAATCAATTTATATCATATTAGACAATGGTAGTCCGAACTAATGAAATGCACCATGAAACATTGTCATCCACCTTCAAACAAACGTCATATTTAATGGTTGTTTTAAACTTGCAACCCACAAGAGAGTTTTTCAAACTACTATAATGTCGAGTTTTTGAAATATCTGGTGAAACCGGAATATCATATGATTTTATAGTGGAATTAATAAAAAGAACTTTTCTGATGGAGGGATTTCTATGAAAAGTAATTTTCATCAAAGATTCTCTAAATATATTTCTTTGTCAAATGATTTAATGAACCGAAGTTACTTTACAGGAAGTAAATATCAATAACAATATTGTTTTTCGAAACGTGCGTCAGTTTTTAGGAAGTACTTATCTAATTTTTTATCATATCCGCTGTTGTTATTTAAACTGTCATCTTTATCCCCGAGAGACATCTTTTGTTATTAACTTTTTGTGTATCTTATGTCACCTTCCACATGAAGATTTAAGTAGCAAAACCCTACGATTTAAATTGCGTATGTCAGTCAGTGAGTACAACGTCCACCTGCTTCAAGGAAACGGCTTATGGAGATAAAACGACCTACTTGTTTTTGTCGGCATAAACAAAGAAACAATCTACGGTAACGGCAAAACCCACTTGTTGATATCCTCTTTTTATAAACCAAACAGAAATCCATACTCGGCAGTTTGTTGATTGCGAAATGGATGAATAAAAGGAATACCAAAAAAAAAATAAAGTGTTTTTGTTTGCCATTAAAGGGTTTCTAACCTTTGATAGCCTCTAGGAATGTAACTATAATCATCACCTGTTTTGCTTTCCGGCTTTTTCCATTGCCAAATAACGTTTGGAAGCACATTAAAAATTATTTCTAGCTTTTATTACTTCTGTTCATCTGCGTAGTTGATCAATGACCAGATAATTGGAAAGATATTTTAATTTCAGTAATATCTGGTGTATTTATAGTTGATAATTTTTAGCGGTTTTGATTCAATGAAAAAATGTGAGAAGCGTATTTCAAATGATATTACTTTTTTGTTATTAAAGGACTTTTCATTTACAAGTATTGAAAAAACCCAATTACGTGACCGTTTCTTATTGGGTAATGTTGCAATAAACCACAGTTGATCATATACAAATACGTATACATTTACACAACACCTACTTCTACCTTTGAGTCCAATCTTACATGAGTAAATACTTACTTCACAGATGTGTTTAAATTATTTTAATTCGCTACTAAGCCTTTAGAATTCATACCTACTTCAAAATATGTTTTCAAACGTCGTTTTAAAATATACCATTTCTAACAAAAAATAACTATAAAAGCGGATTCAGAAAGTGAAAACGAGTGTACCGCACTGAAAATTTGTAATTTCGCCACAAAATTGATATTTTTTAAAAGAGATATTTGTTTATCAAATAGAGAGTAGATAGAAACTAAGTACCTAATTGATTTATGTTTCACTAATCTGTAAGAAGTTTTGTGTTGCAAACCTGTGATTGAGAGTTCAAATCACCCCAACTGCAGCTTCAATTGTTTCTTAACCAATTATGAATCTTATTTTGATATATTCCACATATAAGTCACAGAAAGAGTATAGTATTCTACTTGCTCCAATGATTTACAAACTTCACTCTCACGAGACATGACCATTTCTCGCGAGTAGGATACTACACCTTTTATATGCCTTTTATCAGGAATATTTCAAAATAAAATTCATAACGAGAAGCAGCATAATAAAACTAATGAAAAATATTCGCTTGTTGAATTATCCATTGCTTGTGTTTTCATTAAACCGAATTTCTCATTTCTATTTTTCTTTCCAGTCATGCAAAATCTGCAACAAGACCTTCGCTAACGTTTACCGTTTACAAAGGCATATGATCAGCCATGACGAGAGTGCTGTTCTTAGGAAATTCAAGTGTACAGAGTGCGATAAGGCCTTCAAATTCAAACATCACCTCAAGGTATGAATACATTTATTACATAACAATTGGACTAGCAGCATTCAGTCATATATGAAAGAAAAAACTTCTGAATCCTGAATGTTTTCAAATTCAATTTTTGATCATTTATGTTTGGATGCTTCTAAATCAATATTTCATGATAATTTACAGACGGTGAACTTTTTCTCTTATTTACATTCCATACTGCCAATGTTCAACTTTGGTAAAATCACACTTGTTTTCTACATGAGTGTGTGTTGAAAAAGTTTTTCATATATACACTTGGCTTTTCTGAAAGTGATTTTTAACTACACTAAGAAGCAATGCAAAGTTCCAACAGCCAATATTCCAAAGTAGAAAAGAAATTCCTAATACGTTTATGCTTTTCAATTATATGGTCATTCTACTCAAATAATTGCAAGTAATTTGAATCAGAAATATAATTAATGTTTTTTCTTACAGGAACACATCAGGATTCACAGTGGAGAGAAACCATTTGAATGTGGAAACTGCAGCAAAAGATTCTCCCATTCTGGTTCCTATTCTAGTCACATGACATCAAAAAAATGTCTAGTAATGAATCTCAAATTAGGTAGAACAAGAGCTCCTCCTCCAAGCAACTCTTTGATGGACAAGAATTCTCAACAGAACGTTAGAGTACCAAAGAGGCCTAACATTAACTCAATAAATAACAACATCACATCTAGTCCGAATCATAATTCTTATTTACCAATTCTTCCTAAGTATTCGGAAGCCGCAGCCGCTGCTTTTCTTCAGTCTTCATTGGCTGGTAGTCCTACCATCCCCCCTTTTTACTTAGCCCCTCCTAGTATGCTCAATGCAACCCACCCAATCAGTCCTTACTCGATGCCATCTCTGGGTCATATTTTAGAACAGTTGCAACACCACCAGCAACACAGCCCATTACGACCTCCTCTGATGGAAAATTCCGACAACCATCTAGAAGACATCAGGCAACAAGTAATTAACGCAAACATCAACCATCCTGACAGTTACAATAAGTCAGATAGCACTGGAAACGTCACGAACTCCAATGCATCCGAGTGTGGGGACCTGGTGATGGATGAAGATGCAGAACCTGAACCTGAAACAAAAAATGACAACGAGGGAACTCGTACGAACAATGGTGATTTAGAAGCGGTAAAAAAGATCCTAGAAACTGTGAACGCAACTGTTACAAAAGAACTTCTGCAGGCGAATATGCAGAAAATCTCTTCAGAATCTTCTAGTGAATGTCACAGCATAGCTTCCGCTCATTCCCCAAAACTGATTCCTAGGTGTAGTAGTTGCAGGAAAACTTTTGAATCTTCTGCTTCACTAGAAGAACATGAATGTGAAGACGGTAAAAGTGAAGGATTAGCTGCTAAACTAGAAGACGCGCTCACAACAAAGTCCGATGATGTTCATAACGAAAGTCTCAGTGGTGAAGACCAGGATTTCGATAGGATGCATTACAATGCCAGTGACGACTTAGATTCAGAATCATTCACCACAACTGATCATGTATCGGAAGATGGCAGGAAAGTTCGAGTGAGATCACTTATATCAGATGAGCAGTTGAAGGTTCTCAAAGATAATTATAAATTGAATCCAAGACCAAAGAGGGAAGACTTAGAGAAAATTGCTTCTAGCATAGGCTTTCCAGTTCGGGTTGTACAGGTTTGGTTCCAGAATACCAGAGCTCGGGACAGGAGGGAGGGCAGGTTAATTCAAGTGCCCTACAGTCCAGCTTCCAACCCAACACGATTCACCTTGCAGGCAAAGGTACCCATCAGCATGTCCCCGGATCAGTACATCTCGGAACAACCTTTAGATCTATCTGTCAAAAGAGAATCTGTATCCAATGAATCGTCACCTTCTTGCTCCCCACAAAGACCATCTTCAGCAAGTCAGCACTTCGAAAATAACGATGAAGTAGTGAACCTCAGTAGAAAAACTTCCAGAAGTCCGTCTTACATACCTTACCCAAATCATTTCCAGAGCTCTAATTCTTCTGAGGCTGGTCAATCACCATCATCTTTAGATTTTAATAGCAGCCGACTGGCCCAAATCTTAGCACAACCGGCACATAAATTATCCTTATCCGGTATGGGGCTGGTACCCATGGACCAGTTGATGCAATTTGGAGCTGCTGACCTTCCTAGTTTATCGCAACTGATTAACAGTAGGATTACTAGTTTGAGTCCCAATTCTGACAAACGACCCTGGATTGAACCTAGAGATCTGTCCAATGATATGTCTGAAGAAGACCTGTCAAATGCTAGCAAACGAAGTAAGGTGTCTCAGTTTGTGCTCAAGAGCCTTGGCAGCCCAGTGTTAGGGAATCAAGATATCGAAATAGAGGGACAATTTACCTGTGATCAATGTGACAAGGCATTCTCCAAACAGAGCTCGCTTGCCAGGCACAAATATGAACATTCAGGTAAGAACAAAAAAATGAAGAACAGTCAGTTTGATTTTCTTATTAGAAAATTTTAAAGGCAATATAAATTTTGTTTAAGGATCTAATTCCAGACATTGCTATTTCGATTTGCTATAGATATTATCAGTCTAGAACTGTGAGAGTACTTAAAAGTGATGCATTATTCATAATTTGACACCATATTAATTGAGAAAATTTATACTTGTTTATTACAAAAGAAAGTGTTCACCTCTCAAAATAAAATTTTTAAATTAAACTTATTATTTGAGATAATAACTTTTAATTAAAAAATATGGTGAATTCAATTATTCAATTATTTTGTGCTCCTGATATCCTATTTTAATTTTCAGTACTTTTACTGTGATTTTCAATTTTGAAAATATGCAATTTTCAGATGAGAATGCCAGCAAAGCAACATTTGAATATCATCAATTCGTAGAAATTTATCTTTTAGAATTTCTATTATATTGTATGTACTGTAACTGAAGGACATTGCTCAATTATTAGGGAGTCAATTTTATTTGTTTAAGATCCAAAGTAACTTGACTAAATGTACTCTATATACTTATGAACATTTTTCCTAATGACTTTTTTTATTTCCAGGTCAACGTCCCCACAAATGTGACGAGTGTCCTAAAGCATTCAAGCACAAACATCACTTAACTGAGCACAAGAGGTTACACAGTGGTGAAAAACCTTTTCAGTGCGGTAAATGCTTGAAAAGATTTTCCCATTCAGGATCCTACAGTCAACATATGAATCATCGATACTCTTATTGCAAACCATACAGAGAGTAAATCTTCGTAATGCTTTAAGTGTAAATACATAGCTTAGGTTAGTTGAGAAACTAACTAAAAAAATCTTGCCAAATATGTATGTGTATATAGCAGTTGAAAGAGATGCCAAATATTTATAGAAAGTACTATGAATTATTTTTTTTCAAGTAATCAACTGAATAAGAAGATACTGAAATCGTCAAACTCTAAAGAATATTCGAATCCTTTTTGAGAGATCTGAAAAATCAAAGTGTTTATTAGTTACTTATGGTTAACAGATAACTTGATCAATTGATAGAAGTGCTGTGCTTAAGGATGTTTCTCCTAAACAAGATTTACTTAACATTTTCATAAAACTTTGAGAAATTGTATTTAATTGTATGTGATGAAATCTATAGAATGGGATGGGGAAGAATGACATTCGGAACTTCTGTAATACCTCAATAACTGTTTGGTCAGATGGCATTCACTTGGTTGGTGAGTTCTACTTATGAAAACATTGCTCTTCTGAATTTTGGTTCGATTCCAACTCGAGGATGATTGGTATTTACTGCACTCATGCTAGAAATTGCACATCGAAAGGTAAAACTTTGTTAATCTTAACTTTTGAAAAGTTTCCGACTTTTTAGAGTTGTTCGTGTCTTGACGACAACTGTTTGTACTAACTATGTAGCTAGAGTGGGCCTATAAAGAATCCAAAACGGAATCGGCAAAACGAAAAAATTTCATGCAATCGGTTTCATTACACCACTTTTTTACACTTGATTGGAATCAGCAATGATTTACTCAAAATAATTATCCTGTTTTATGAAATTGATTTTATTAAAATGCTTTTTTATACCAATAGAGTGGATAGAGTTTATTCTCTATACAAATCAAAAATTGTATATAGTCGTCAAAAAAAATATAAGCGAATAATCTGGTGTTCTTATGAAACAAACTGTGAGCTAAAATGCTAGTAGATATAGCTTAGAAATATCAACAAAGGCTTAAAAACGTTTTGACTGTAATTCTAATCAACGAAAATGTACCCAAAATATTTTTTAATCTTTTTGATTTCATTATTAAAATTATCTGGTCTTCAGTTTTGCTTTATATTTATATTAAGGAAATAATCCAAACGTTAATTATTGACGTAGAGAAGTTTGAAAATCCGTCATATAGTAATTTTCATCATATATGATAATTTTCAACATATATTAGGTACTATAAAAGTTCTTTAAGTACTGAGAACTTTCAGTTGCAATTGACCTGGAGGAACTTCCTTCGAGCACACATATTCAATTTCTGGAGGTTTATTCCTATTATATATTCATATACAATTTTGGAATATCATAAGATTACAATGTTCACAAAATGTACTAAAAAACGAGCAGTAACAATCACTTTGGTATGGAATTTTTTTTATTATATGAATTCCCAGAGATTTTTGGTTGCATACTCCCGTATTTATATTTTTATATTCATTTACAAGTTGCAATACATTCGAATGATCACTTTCTGGCAAGAACTGAAAAATTAATTCCTCAATGAAAAACTTTAGTTGTGAAAATTGATTTCTTGCCTTTTTCATTATCTGTAAATAACTTGTCTGGTACCTGTATGAAAATACTCATAGTATACAGTTGATTAGTGCCAGGAAATCAAACGTCTTCCACCACTCCCAATAGCAGTGGTGTAGTAGGCAAGGGGCACCAAGGCAATTGTTCGAAAAAATTTAGTCATTATGTGCAATTTGAATGCCGCGAGTTACCACATTTGATAGGAAGTAATTTTAAAAGAGTTTATTGTGATTGGAAGATTTGAGATATTATTTTTTTATTATTACGAATATGTAGATATGTAATATATAGATATTGCTTTATTAAAAGTGCCATACATCGATGAGTGAAATTGTATAGCCAAACTGTAGATATTTTATGGTTTCATGACAACGATTATTTAGGGTTAAAGAAAGTTGGTAACCTGCCTCTAGTTTATAAACAGTACAATAAGGGCCGATGCAACCGATGCATCCAAGGTGTTACATGACAATACATAGAGCTCATAGATTTCAACAATACAATGAAAAAGTGGTGCAAGCCATTACTCACTATCTTTTGTAAGCATTTATTTATTAACCAAATGATATTTGTAAGTTGGCGGTGATTTCGTTACCACTAGATTAAAGAACATTTTTAGGTACTTTTAAATTTATAAAGTATGCAAAGGCGATTTTTGAGAAATAAAATGGTGTCGGAATATTTTTGATCAAACATCCTTACGACTTTCACATTGGTAAGCTCCTTGTAGACAATTATAAATGTAAAAGTCTATTTTTGTACCATTCCGTTTTTGTTTGCTGTTTCGACACACAACTTCGAAAATCGCCAGTGAATATTTAAGCCATTCCAAATTATGTACCTAACATGATTTCCAGTGTGCAAGTTCGTATATTATAAGGTTTTGACAATAACATAGCTATTTGATATAAACCTATTTAGTACTGCTAATGTTAATTGAAAGAAAGTAGCATTTATTCTATGAATCTCAAGATATGTGAGAAAAAAGCGAGGTATAAGAAATTATATTATATATACAATTTATATATTAACATAAATTTTAATAATATTAAGGATATTCTATAAATTTCTGTGTATAGGTCTATTCTGTAAATATTGAATGTTCATTCCTCTTCATTGTCTAAACTTTCTCTTCGTTTTCAGACATAAATGCCATCTTATATGAAAATTTATATAGAATGAATCCCTTGTCGATGTTCTATTTTCAATGAGCATTCTTGATAATCTGGTTTTTTGACATTTTTTCTTGTATATTATTGTTTTATGACTTTTTTGTTGAAATATTGTATTTTTTTACATTGGCTAGTTTTACCAAAGAATATGTAATATATTTAGCCTTTCATAGTTTGATGTTCATTTTTTTGTTTATTTTTATTAGTTTTCTTTATTATATGTTTATATAAATGATCTTGTAAAAATGGTGACTATATCGAATGTATGTGTAAATTCTATTATGAAAAGTTGAAAAATGTATTTTACTCAACATGAATAAACTTCTGAAACAATTAACATCTTTCATTATATATATTTATATTAATTTTCAATAATAATTACAATCCTCTAATTCAATATGGAGTTTATGCCGCTTTCAACACTTTAGTGAATGCTTTATTTTTCAAAAAAGACCATTAACGAAAATAATTGCAGGATATAGCTTATGGCTATCCATTGGATACTTGACAAAAGTAAGTAAACTATTAAACAAATAATTTATTATCACTAGATACCACAAAAAAATGTTTTTTGAGATTTGAGAAAGTGCTTGTTAAAAAATTTGGAACATAATAGACACAAAAATATAATTTGGCCAACACATCTTATTTCTGTCTGTCGTACTAGATTAGTATTTTATGTACTTCCTTAGATAGGAAACCTGTGTACAAGAAGACATCTTATTTGATATCCTTTTATTAATGAATATATTTTATGTATTTTGGAACAGAATGAGTTTGTATTAGGTAGTTTCAAAAGTTTTGTCCGTTTTTATGTGTACTCCAAAATGTAATATCTTAGTGAATGCAATTCAATCGAAATAAGCGCCATTCGAATCAGTGTACTGTTGCCAACGTAACACAGGCTGATTAATACCGTCAGCATAGAAATTGTGTAATCGGGATTCGATGAAGTCGACGAAGGCCGTTTTTTCCTGGTCCTGATTGGCAAAGGTTATACCGCTGAGAAAGTTATCAAAGTGCTTGAAAAAATAGTAGTCGGTTAGCGAGAGGTCTAAGGTGTATGGTGGGTGAGAGAAAGTTATATAAATCACACCAGCCGCTGACCACCATACAGTAACTATGGTCTTTTTGGTGAGTTTTCGCCTGAAGTGAAGTGGCTTCAGTGTCCAACCACTGTTCTGAATATCTCCTGTTGTCGTAGAGGATCAAATTTTCATCACACGTGAGGATCCGAATTGAAGAAATATCTTTTTTTAGTTGCGCAAAAATAAAAAGAACAGACCTCGAAACGTGACATTCATGGGGTACTCACTTATACATTTGCTTGTTATTAGGGAAATATCTGTTGCTGCTCTCCCACCTTTATCATACTTATCCATGCTAGAAGTAAACCATCAGCAATACGATCTTGGCACTTCAAAACAAAGCTATCTGATAATGTATCATAGATACACCGCTTTTATGCTCTGGCACGATCTGTTTTCTCTCTGCAGTAAAAGCTATAAAGAACAGAAAACGATTTCTGTTGACATTTTGAAAATCTTATAAACTATTGTAATATCTTAAAAGAAGGTTCAGGATTTTAGTTGTATTATGAATACAATTAGCTATGAGCTAATTTGAAGAAACGATCAAATTGTTATGCATAGCTAGACCTACCTACTGGATTAATTAATAGATACTCATAATGCTTTCGTGAATTTTACTAGTATTTGAGCAAAACTACCGGTAAACCCTCGAATCTCAGGGTCCAAAAAATCGTGTAGAAATGTTCAGTAAAGTTTGTAGTTTCAAAAAGTACAAAACTGGCATAATTTTGATATCTGAACATAAAAATGTAAAACATCTCATTCAAATCGCTTTGACAATGTTTTCGTTTTTCTATAGATGATTTTCGTCATAAATTCATTTTAAAAATATGATTTTCATTATGGCAACGAAGGTATTTTTATAGATAAAGATACTCACTCGTATACTTACTACACATTATAGAAATTCACAATAAAACAATTGTTAAAAACTATTTGCAGGCATATTGTAAAACATGTTGTGACCTCTATGAATGACTTGACAAAGTTCTTCTCGAAGAGCTCTTTATTTCAAATATGTTTGGTAGTGACGTTCTTGAAAGAGAAGTAAGATGGCACTATGGAAAGAATAATGAATCACAAAACGGGATGGCATCGGATCAAAAATGTTCACAATTGGCACAAGTATTTTCTAATTTTTTTTTAGCATAGAAATACATTTGTACATAAATACAAAGAAAATACATCAGTTAAATCCTTAAAGAATGCACCAGTCATATTTATTTCACAATTAGGATTAAAATGAGTGTACTAAGTACTTCGGTAATCAGTCATATGATGGCGTAGAGTGATTAATTCATTAAACAATGACAGTGTCAATATCAACTTTGTATATGGACATATCGTCACTTTGAAAGTAAAACTCACTAAGTACAATAACTGACTTTTGAAATAATCGATAATTAATAAAATACGAATAATAAATTTCACTTATCTATTTTAACTTGCTTCTGATATCCCTGATGTTTTTTCGATAATACTTCATTGTGCTACCCTTTCCAATTAGTTAAGCCACCCACTAAGTGGTGATGTCTTCTGAGGAGAATTTTGAAAAAAATGTACTTATTCATTTTTACTTCTAAGATGACTTCTGAAACAATAATAGTTATTGAATAAAATATCATTAAAAAAAAACTTTCATTGCTTTTTTTGGATAAAATTCGAAACTATAATTGTAACTATTCATTATTCGTTATTTTCATCTTCTTCTACGGCAAACGGTCCACCCTTACAGTTAGTGGTAGATATTCATACCAGTGGTGCACCTCTTCCGGTATTAAACCTTTGCGGCACAGCTTTAAAATGTCCTCTTTCTTCTGTTTGCTTATTGGAAGCAGTTGACTATAAGCTGGTTCAACTCCAAGGACAGCAGAAATATCTTTTCGTAGTCGGGTTTAACCGTGGATATCAATTTTTCGATATTCTGAGGAGTGGTCATACTGGCAGTATAAGATGTCGGGTGAATTTTTTTTCAAATTTCAGACATTTTATTTTCAGCCACGATACGATGAAACCATTTTCATCGAGATTTCGATTTTTCATTAGTTGCTTAACGAAGGCTTGCAGATCCTTAAAATCCTCATATTTTAATTCATGTATATCTGGTACGGCACATTTGGTTCAGCATTTGTTCGTTTTTTTTGTCTGTAGTTATTTCTACTTGAACGCCTTCGCTTAAAAAAGTTAATCCAGTCATTCATAATAAACGTCGATTCATTTTTTTAGCATTCTCTATGGCCGAGTTCATGGAGTCGCTCTCCACTGCCGACGTCTTATTGCCGGGTGTTTTTCTGCCCCTTCTGTCCCAGCGGAATATTTACCCTTGATAGCAGTTTCAATAGGGCCATTTGAAATACAAAGTGTTTTCCGGAAAAAATTAGCACAAGTTTTGAAACGACCTCTTGCATTTTCCAAATAATATACTTTTGACACTCTTCGAGCAGGTGCACTATCTTCATCAACTCTCCTACTTACCATATTACTTACTGTACACAAAAGTCAAGTTACTGGTTCTAGTCCAACAAAGTCTTCATCACCATTACTATATTTTCTACCCGGTTCTGTATTATGTACAGATTCGTTTGCCTTTTCAACTTAATTGACAATTATTATCATTTTCCCAATTATGCAAATACTGCATATATATTATGAACATATTAGTTCTTACTCATATGATTTTACTTTTAATAAAGAAGTTTAACTGAAGGTAAAAGGTACTTACTTTTGTTCCACTTGTGCTCGTTCGCATAATTCTAAGGCATTTTTGATTATTAATTTAGTTTTTTCACTCATTTTACACCGTACTATGTTTTAATAAAAATAGGTCTTGTGAAATAACCCACTCAAGTGAAATATCGTAACACGTGTTTCAACAGTTGAAACTGAATAAGTACTTAACGCTTTTGTTCTATGTACTATGTTGCCCGGCTGCTAAGGTAGCTGGTATACGTAAATCTAATCAAGTGCATTTTCAGTTTTGCTGCAAATATTCATTAATAGATTTATTGAAACATTCTTCGGGAGAATTGTGAAATACATTTCGAAAAAAACAGTCGCCCGCGACAGAAAGTCTTCAAATTGTTTCTCATTTTGCCTCTATAAACTTTTTTGTTGTTTAGGCAACTATAATTATCAAATTGTATATTGTTGGTGGCCTATACCAGCAGTTCTATCCAGTGAATTTTTGTTTTACAGACTCCTGCTTCGTAAAGTGGACATTCGAAAAATTGTGTCCGTGATAACTGAACTATGAAGAAATGTGACCAAATTCACGTACCATATTATTTAATAGTAGGTATTACTTATTTGGTCATCTTATTTCAAATACATACCTTTTTTTCTATAAAGCCCAAGGAGAAGTTGAAAGTTCATAAATTTCTGGACAAAACTTCATTGATATGCCTTTGTTGATTCCTTATTTACATAATATTAAAGTAATGATAATCACTTCAACCGGTAAATATTGTGGGGTGAGTACTACAACTAGGTAACTACAAATTTGGCAAAATATAATTATCTTAAGAAAAATTCCATTAGGTTAGGTGCACAACAAATTACAACTAGGTAACTGTTGCAGACAGTTTATAGGTGCTATTTAGAATTTTCAAAATTAGATAAGGTAATCATCAGAGAAAAAATCCATTCTATAACTAGTCATGTTCACATATATTGTTGTTCAGTATATTGATTTGTTGGTTTTCATCAAATTTATATATTTTTTTTGTAAAATGAAACAAGTCTCGTAGTGCATTATTGTCAAAACAATAATAGATCGCAAATAAACAATTTATTTACAAGCCCGTTTTGCTAGATTGAATATGAAACGAACAAAAGCATCATTCTTTTAAAAAATATTATAATTGAACATTATGTATCTAAATCAACAACAAAAATTTTTTAGTGCTAAATAATTAAAATTCAGATATGGTACTAAAATTGCATTTAATCAAGCCTTCATATTTTACCAATGTCGTGAAAAAACATTAATTTCAGTTTTCCTCGAAACAGCTGATTTGTAGTTACCTAGTTGTAGTTTCACCCCACGATATGTTAACTTTGTATTGGTAATTTTTATTTCTCTCAATGATTAAACATCATCATTAGTTACTGTTATTTTAAAAGCGGGTGTTCCAGTTTTCAAATATCAAAACAATTTCTTACTTTTTCATTGAGAATTTAGAAATAAAATATACAGATTGTACCTACTATATGAAAAATGAAAATTGAGGACATACAGAAAAATATAAATTGTGCCAAATAAAAAAATACTTCACATATTGACAGTCACGGTATTTGAGTGGGATCTTGGAAGTATACTGTATTTGATATGTTCATTATGTGTTGAAATGCTTTTCCGTTAACCGCCTGTTCCTCTCTTATGAACGACAACCCTTAGAAGACAAAAATTGTGCGAGGTCCGAACTTTCATGTGATTCCTAACACATGTCAGAAAGTACATAGAGTGAAAATAGGAAAACGCATAGTTGTAATGTAACCAACGTTCACATAGTTGTTCTATGAATAAGTAGAAATAGCCAGTCACGGTCACCAACCATACTCTACCCCTCTCCCTAACTTGATAACTTGTACATGTTTTAGCTTTCAGGTCTTGTACATTTTCTTTTCAGATATCTTTCATTCAGTCTTTTACAATTTATATAGTAATACTCCAGACTAGACTATGCCACTAAGTAGTTCTTATATTGACATATTTTATACACAATAAAACCCCAGTTGAGCGAAATAAAGGAAGGACAACTGTTTCGGATACTTTTTTAGTTGACTTGTCAACATAAAAAAAATAACCCACTGAAATGTGTGTGTGGGAAAAATTCATTACAAACAATTTCTGTATTTTTTTTATTTTGAAACAATGTTCACATGTTACAATAACTTGTTTTATTAGTTACAAAATTCGGTGATTTTTGTATGTTTTTTCAAATGAATCGTTTTGGTTGACTTGGGTTTGGTTAACCAGGGTTTTACTTTATTGAACAAGTTGGGTGAAGTATTCTATTTTTGGAGGATCAGAGTAAATTGTTCAAATCTCAAATGATCCATAATAAGGGCCCTGAGACTTTGTTTCCACCCTCTGTTTTGTCCCTCAATTTTTTTATGAATACCCCCATATACAACTTTTTGAATTGATTCAATTTTTCCAAAACCTGAAATTTTTGATACCTATACATTATACATGGTGTAACTGAATAAGTGTAAAACAATTAAGGAGGTGATTCCTCATCGAAAAAAAGATAGGATCTTTCATATAAAGAAACTTCATTTAATGGGCATCTCATCTATTGAAACCATTATCACTGCTTATCATTCACTTTTTATGTCCCATGTATCTTATGGTCTAGTACTCTGGGGGCACTCGCCTCATGCAAAAAGAGTGTTTGGACTGCAAAGAAAAGTTTTGCGAGTTATCTTCAAACTGGGTTATCAAGAAGACGTTAAAACAACATTTATTAATAATAAATTATTTACATTACCTTCTCTTTACGTCTATTCATGTATAAATTATGTAAAAAAAATCCTCACTTATACCTGAATCAAAACGATTTTCATTCACATAACACCAGACAAGCACAACAGATTAAAATTGAATTCACAAGACTAAATCACTGCCGTTTTTGCGAAAAATTATTATGGTCCTATTTTATTTAACAAACTACCAGAAGATATAAAAAACTTAAATACAGCCTCGTTTACAAATTATATGAAGAATATCTGCCTGGAAAACGCTTTTTATAGTATCGACGAATTTTTATCATTTGACTTCAACACCAACTAATATTTTGAATTTACAATATACGTAGACAGTGATATTTATATTGAAATTGTTCACATCTCATTTCCTTATTTGTTTATATTTTATTTATTCATTTAGTGTTTTTATGATATTCTTATGGTATATGATATTTGACAGAACCTTATAATACTATTGTATTTTTTTATGGCGAATAAAGGATATTCTATTCTATTCTATTCATTGGAGCATCCCTTGTTAAGATACAGCCCCTTAAAGGGGGTACATAAAATTTGTATAACAATTTTTTTCACAAGCACTGAAAAAGTTACAATATTGAAATTAACCTGACGTTTTGTACTACCAAAGAGACACTTAGCCAGTAATTTATTTGGTTTACCCCATGGTTGTAAGGGGTGGAAAACGCAACCCCTAAAATTTATTTCCAATGTAATTTTTTGTTTAATTATTTGTTTACCATTTAAAAATTTATTTCCTATAGCCTGTTTCATTCTAAACAAAAAATGTCTCTTGGGTTTTTTGCCCAAAATAAACCAGTTCGCAGCAAAAAATTATTTTACGAACAACTACAGAGATACATCGTCAAAAATGCGAACTGGATTTATTGTTATTTTGTAGTTAGTACCTGTAATAAACAATTGAAGGGTAATAAACAAAACTAATTTATTGATAACAAAACACACAACATGTAGAAATCAAAGTAAATGTTCAATATGTCTACCTTCAGACATTACGAATGCGTCTAGACGTCGGCGCATTGAGCCACGTATTCACTCAAATATTCCTGGAGTCTCTCTGATTACCCTGCACGCATCGATGATGCGGTTTCTTTGAAAAAAATTGTTATACAAATTTTATGTACCCCCTTCAAGGGGCTGTATCTTAACAAGAGATACTCCAATGAAATTTCTTTATATGAAAGATCCTATCTTTTTTTCGATAAGGAATCACCTCTTTAAATGTTTTACACTTATTTAGTTACACCCTGTATAACGATGAAATAATATATATACTTTCGAAAGGTACACGATAGAATTTAAATAGATAAATAATTTATTATAAACAAAACATTTACATTTATATTAAGAACAATATGTTGACATAGACACGAATTCAGATACATTGCTGAAATAAAGTTACTATTAGTTCACATATTGAAAACATTGAAAGAACATAACATAAGCTAACATAAATAAAGAAAAACAATCATAGATAACACATTAGTCAAACATTAAATATATGGTTCTGACCAGTACTTCATGGTACTGGTACTATGTCTTTCGAATATATTAGTGGATTTAACTTTGGGACGCAGCTTTACATCTTTCGGCTTCAACATGTTTTTGTGATTGCTCATCATCCTAGATGGAGTTAATATTGATTTTGTACTCAACCCGGTACATTCTAGAAAATGTTCATAAGTAGGTTCGTTTGGTCTACAGAGAACCTTCTCTTTGCTTACTTCCTCTGGGTTGGTGTGATTAGCTTGGAGTTCTAAATGTTTTTTCAACAACTCAACTGAGCTTTTATTCAAAATTGGAGGAATTATGTCATTCTTCGCTCGAATCAGTTCTACTCTTGTAGAACAATTAGCTACTTCACTTGAATCTTCTGATTTGTCAGTGACCGAATCAGATAGTTCACTTTTAACGTCTTCTTCGACAGTATACTCTTCTATTTCACATTCATCTAGTTTGAACTCTTCAAAATTCTGCCTCAAGTCAAATTTTTCAAAATTGGGAATTGTGGATGGCTCTTTTTCAACAGGCGTCTTATGTTTATCTGAGTTTTGGAGGTTCTCAAAACTAGAAAACAAATGCTTACTCAGCTTAGATCTTTCTGGTTTCTTTTTGATTTCATTTAATAATTGTTGATTATTGAACCCTGTTATTAGGCTTGACACTGAAGATCCAATAGCAATGGGTCTTCGAAGGCTCTCCTTTCTGTTAGTTTGTAACTTCAGTATCTGTGAATTGTTTTGCACATAGTTATCCTGACTTATTCTTTCTTCTTTTTCTGATTCTTGCTTCTCTTCTGGAATGATTATTTCAGAAACTTGGGGTAACTTTGGTATTTCAGGATCATTTTTCTTAGGGGACAAGTTGATAATAATTTCGGACTTGACGGGAGTCTGTTTGATCTGTTGTACGTTTATTTTCTCAACACATTTTTTCATAACTGAATCATCTTTCAAGTTAATTGTATCAGTATCAGTAGATTTACGTTCAACTTTACTTTTTGGTTTTTCAGATACGTTCAGTTTATTCAAAACGTCTAGCGATGTTGGGGCATTAATTTCCGCAGCCACGCAAATTTTTCTAAAAGAAACATTTTTACTTTGTGGTAAATTTAGTTCTGATATTGAACAGTATTCAGGTTCACACTCCAATACACTCTCATTTCCCTTTTTAATTGGCGTTTCTTTAGGTGAATTCTGAGTTTTGTATTTTGAAACTAAATTGGCAGGTTTCGGAGGCAGGGCTGGAGGTATACGTAAAATTTTACTCTTTCTCACAACTTTCCCAACATTGTCCCCCTTTTCAATATTATCTTCCATATCAACATAGTAATGGTTGAGAGGTGGATCTGGTAAACTCAATGGTCTCACAAGAATCTTTTTTTCTTGTTGTGGAAGATTGGAAAATGTTTCACTACATTTACTCAGAATCTGCTCATAATCATTACTATATATACTCTGTGGAGTTTCATAAAAATTGGGAGTTCTCCGAACGGGTGTTTCATAGTAATCGTGGCCAGAATTTTCCTGCTTTTCCTTTACATTCGATTCTGTCAGTTGAACTTCAACTGGATCATGCGACTTCTCCTCTTCATCACTGAACTTAACTCTTTTATTTTTTGTACCTTTTTTCTCTAGATTTGGCGTTTTGGGTGGAGAGTTCAAAGAATCTTTCATATTCTGCAAGAGAATTTCATTCATGCATTCAAGCACGGGGTTGTCTTTGTAAACACCTCCATGTTCCTCATCTTCTTGGTCACTAGCACTAGCATACCAGTTATCATTTGCTCCTTCATCTGCTTCGAATACTGGAATAGATTCAGTTATTTGTGAAAGTTTTTTTTCTTGTACTTGTGTTTCACACACTTTCTCAACTCCATTAAATTCCTCATTACTTTCTGAATTGGGTTCTTTCACCACTTCGGTTATTTTATTGATGATGGTATCCTCGCACTCTGACAGAGATATACTCAAGCTGGAATCAGTCTGATTCACCATTTCCTGATTCTGGTCGAATATTTCCTCGATGTTCTCAGAAACTAAACTTATTTTGTCGGTAATGCTTTCTGGGGGCAAGGAATCCAAATTATCATAGTCATTACTTGTATTGTCGTCATTCGATATTGGGCTATTGCTATCATTTCGTAGCTTCAACACCTCAAAGTAACTTCCAATGCTCTTTCTGTGAGGCACCTTTTTAGACCGCCGACCAAAAGAATCTTTACTGTTCCGATTTTTCAAGTAAATATTTTTGATTGATTCAGTTTCAGATTTGGAATTATCTTCGAGAAGATTATCTGATTTATTGTATCCTATTTCCGATAAAGTCGCATATGTTTCAGTACTGCTGTCCAAGGACTCAAAATTTGATGACTGGTAATCGGTAACAACGTACTCAGTGCTGCTGTCGAGACTTTCCTGAATCGGACTGGATGTGTAATACTGGTTACAATTTTTGCAGTACTGATTCGAGAGCAATCTTTTTATATCGTTGGTTTGCTTTCTAATTATATAATCCTTTTCATTCAATTGATGGCTTATGTATTTTTGTTCTTGTCTGAGCCTGGCTTCAAAAATCAACAGCGCTCTGAGAACTTTCGCTAGCTGGTCGTCTCTCAGTGATTTTTCAGTGTGATACTGTTGTTCCTTCTCTTGCAACCTCTTAGTGTATTCTGCCACCAGCTGCCTGCATCTTCTGGTCTGGAGTTTGAGAGCTTTCTGGACTATTTCCAATTCGCCACGGATAGATTTCACTTCTGATTCGGTATAAGTCTGAAACAAATGAAAACAAATATTAGTTACCATGATTATCGCAAGGTATATGGTATACTGAGTGTTTATTGAACATGCGGCAAACAATTAAGGGACTATTCCTTGACTAATCTAAGGATATTTGGTCCTTTGATGGTATTTGATGGGGCGCTTTGTTTCGAAGATATGGGGCGAAAAAGAATTTCGACAATAACAATTTTGGTAATTTTAAAATCATCAACGTAGCGCCGACATAAAAGTATAGTTTACTACACTGGGCTTACCAAGTAATAAAAAATCTAACAATTCCGTTGGTATCTAACAATATTTCGATTACTACAAATGGCTGCAGACATTCAATTTGAATAGTATGTCTTGTAAGTGATCATTTGTATGTGTCAAATAGGTTGAAACTGATTGACTTTGTCTATTCGACGTACATTTTCTGGGTTTAATATTTAAAGTCTTGTTAGTGAAGTCCTCTATCGTGGACGGCTATAGTAACGCAGAGATGGCTGACATGCATTTCATTTACGGACTTGGTGATGGCAATTCATTGGAAAGCTAGGCGGTTGTACACTGAACGATTACCTAATCGTAATATGCCTAATAGAAAAACCTTCCAAAGTATACATCAACGACTTCGTGAAACAGGAGCATTGAAGCGAAATGAAGGACCAGAAAGGCTCATGACAGTAAGAACGGTAGAAGTAGAAGAGAATATGCTGGCCATTACTGTGAACGAAAGATGTTTCCATGAAATAAAGAGTTCATCAAAAAATTAGAGGGCATTGAAGTTGATGCTATTTCAGTTTTCTAGTATTCTGTGCTAATAGGTATACCCAAGAATTGTATATTTTAACATACACCCTCCCTTGTTTGATACTAGTAGATGTCAGCATGGCACTGAGAAATGTATATATAGTGAATAGTAAGAATACACAGACTTTGTCCGTAACATTTTAATGTCAATTTAGAATTCCCACTCGAAAACTATTTCCTACCAACTTCAGAAAAATTGTGATCTACGAAGCTCCTCACCATTTGAGATTGAGGAGAAGGAAGATACCGAACCGAAAAATACATTCAATACTGAATCTTTCGTCACTACATGAATGTGTTGAGACAGAAACAAAAATAGTGTGAACTCACTTCTACAGAATTCTTGTTAAAACACACAGGCAGTGTCTTAGCCACAGATACGAATTGAAAATGCAATTTTAAATAGTTATAAACAACCACCAAACAACTACTGAAAATGGGTCACGGTTAGACGGTAATGCATTGGAATAATAGACTGCAAAATATATTTGAATAACACTTTCAAAATACAAATCATAAAATTATAAAACAAAAATTAATTAGCGCTCCGGGGCGACTTCATTGATTTCAGTGGCGCATTTGCTTCTTCAGCTGCAGGAAAACCCGGAAAAACCTGCAGCACCACATCATCCGAAGATCTTGATCTGCCAATGTCCTCTCTTTCATAAAACAAAGTGTAGGGTTTCTCCATAGGATTCAATAAATCCATGACATCATCAGAACCCAGTGATACGACTATCGTCAAACTTAAACCAGTCCGATTCGTCTTTGACCAATGTGTGATAATGACCAGATTTGACGCCAGAACCACAATGAACAATGACTGCATGAATATTATAATAGTGGTCTGCTAGATTGAAATGTTCATCTATTTCGAACCTTCGTAAGAGTTTGGTGCTTCAATCAAAGGTTGACTCAGTGCTATTATTAGATTGATTGGTGCCTCAACTATACTTGTTTTCTTGTAACAGTCACTTAGTTTGGCGCATGTTTGGCAATACAGTCGAGCATCACCTGTTGAAAGTTCCATTTCAGATGATTCAACAATAAGCTTTGCACGGACTGTTTATTAGTCACATTAGGAAACGGTAGTTGAAGTTCCAGAAATTCACATACGTTCTTGCAATCTATTGAACATTTACTAAAAAGTAAACAAGTGAGGATATTTCCAACAAAAGATTTACAAACACTGTACGGAAGCATTCAATACAGAGCGGTCAGGAGTATTGATTCTGCTATTGTTTTGCTTACGAAGAGTATTCAACAAGAACTCCAAGAATTCGGAACAATCCGCTTGTCTTAACGAGTATCTAGTAGACTTCAAAGACTCCAGGAAATCGGTTGGTGGGAAAGATGATACAAGGAATAATATATTTATGGATCCAAAGTGGAGCTTGCTCTTACAGTCATATGAAGTAGTGACCTTACACACGTGCTCGTTTACACTAATTTTTGACAGAAAACAATATCTAAAACAACTTGCAGAGAAAAACCAAGTAAACTTGAAGTGGTGAGATATCCTTATGAAGTAGGAAGGGGTTACATGAGACCTAAAACTGTTAAGGGCATTACTTACGACTCAGTGTCTTGTGAGTAATCCAACAATAATTATTCTTATATAGAGAGATAAAACTTAATTATGAAGAAATGAATTACTCAATAATAAAATAGGGGAAAAACTACAATTTTCCACAATAAAAAAGAATTAGAAAGTATTGGTACAAATGTACAATATCAAATGAGTGTCTTCAAATATTAAAACATTAGTACAGGCATAATATTTTAACACAGTCTGATTGGGTTAGTTGAAAAATAAAAATTATGTTAACTATTAATAGTTATTGTTCATGAAAAAATAAATTGATTTTGAAGATTTTAAACAGAAATATATCAACAATAGTATTTTATTATCAATTATTTCAATGTGATCACATTATGCAGGGTTTTTGCATTAAATGTAAACTACACTTAGCAATTTGAAGGCATTTATTGGTCTTTATTTGATCTTATATTACACTGATGTTCTATTATGTCAGTATTTGCAAAATGTTTTTTTATATAGATGGTGCTGATTTTGTAAAATGTTTGTGTGAAATTTAAAATGAAATATTTTTTTAATTAAACTTTTGATGGAAATCTGAAAGGTGTTTTAAAAATTATTGTTATTGCATATTTATGAACAGACTTGTATTTTTGAAATTTGAAATGTTTCTGTAAAAATTTCGCGCTATGAATTTTTATTTCATCAAATTTTGGTTATTTTTCATTACATGGAAATGTAATAAATTTAGTTTTTGTGATATTAAGTGTGAGGAAGTCATAACCCATGTAATGTTTCAAAATTAAGATGCCAACTTCAGCTTTCGATATGGTCTCGTCCCAGTTATCTTCTTCCACTACAAATATACAATGCCGCCTGCATATTAATATAGATCACCATCAAGATTTATATTTAGTAAATCAAAAAAAGGACAGGTCCTAAAACCGTGCTTTGAGGAACACCACACTTTGTTATTTGTTGGTTACTCTTATATTCATTTATTTTTACGAACTGTTTTCTGTTTCTTAAGGAACTTCAGAAAACTTCAAGGCAAACACTTCTTATTCCGTATTGTGTTAGTATATTCTAATCACTTTTTTGTTAGCATTCGGACCATTATATATGCCCAAAAATGCACGCACCCAGATAATTTGATCGTCACTTTTCCCCCTTTTTACATCACTGAAGTCGGGTCAAATTTTATTGCCTCCATCAACATACACTTGTATTTTTCATTCAAACTTTATCATTACAATTTATCGCATATTGACATTAAGAGTAGAAAGTTCCATCAATTTCAATAATTGGAATTTGGCCCGTGGGTAGAATCTTTGCTTCATTGAACGAGACATGAAGAAAGACAATGTCTCGGTCAAGGAATTTAGTCTTTCAGTGACGGAACGTAAAGTGTATCGCTTCTTTTGTAATTGCATGTACTATGCAGTATTTTACACTTAAATGTGTAGAAGGTGGTATAGTAAAATCAGTTTATTTTGAAGAAAACAATCGATATTCGAAATTGATTACCTCGTTGAGAATTTTGTTTTAATGGCGTCAGCATCCTGATACCCAATAAAACGAGATTCTCATCACTCGAAAGCTTAATCGTAAGATAATGATGATGAATTACAAATAACACAAAGATGAAATCAATCAGTATTAATTTCCTTCCTTTACAAATATCTATTTAAAAACCCTCCTTTCTTAATTATTTATTATTATTAATATCAGAAACGTACCGTGACAGAACATGTTGAAGTGACATTTTTTTAAGATAAAATGATATTTGTCATAAACTGAAAGGGTCATATTTCAAGATTAGTTTTTGTAAAAAAAAATTTTAGTTTTCATTTCTCCATCTTCATACAAAAAATTATTCGCTACTAAAATTGCCCATACATGTCACCTGTATTATTGCGCAACTGCTTTTATGTAATAAGTTTAAACTGAAATTTACACTGAACATGTCTACGTACATTATAAACCCTGACTAAGTTATGCACAATCTGTACCTCACAAGAGACTGAAAACATTGGCCAGATTCTTTTTGTATGTCCAATAAACACTGTAACAACACCTGGTGTTGATTCCTTGATAAATCCGGAAACTTCATTTTCAATTATTGATAACTTGGACTAGGGCAAAAACAAGGGAATATTTCGAAACTGGGGTCATTCAAATTGAAAGGTCATTTGTATTGAATGAAAAATTGTCTTTTTGATTCATTGGAAACAATTCAATATATGTCTTTGAGTTTCTTCCCTTCTCTTCAAGAAACCAGATCTGTTTTTCCGTTAACCAGCTGCTGCACCCCTACGAACAACTCTCAGAAGTCGAAACTTGTGCGAGCTAAGTACTAACGAGGTCTTATATTTTAACGTGTGATTCCTAGCACAGCTGACATCATAAGATTTTTATGTAAGCTGTGTTGTAAGGCAACAAGCCAAACCAGTTTCTATAATTTGTTCGAAGCAATAATTATACAATTATTATACAAAGACTTCTAACTCTTTATATTTTGTAGCATTCTTAGGGATTGTATATGATTCAACATATGTTCGGATGACAAACTGAATAGGTAAAAGTGATTTTCGTGTAATTCAATGTTCAACGCTTTTTCTTCCAGTTTGTATCTGAAACTAAATTTTATGCATGATCC